GATCGCAACCTTCAGTGTTGCGCCCGCACCGCGCTCAGCCAGTGAGCGGGAACCGGTCTCCACATGGGATCCGAACCCTCGGCGGGAGCACCGCCACACTCCCAAGCAGCGCACTCTCCAGTGCGCCACCGGGCCAGCCCCTTACTGGTCATCTTTAAAAAAAAAAAGAAATAGTGTAACTGAAAAAAGCTTTTTTTCAAAGGGTCAGAGTTATAGCAAAGCTCTTAGAACAGCCCCTGGCACATAATAAATGCTCAATAAATGTTGACTATTATTACTAGCGCTGTTATAGTGGTTCTTATTATCAAATGGCCTAGCAAATGGCTGTGATATTTTGTAGGTGCTTAATAAATGTTAGAAGTTGGCTTTATTGTTTTTATCATAATTTATTACAGCCATCACAGTGCAGAGCACAGAGTAGGTGCTGAGCAAATGCTCAGTCCTTCTCCTGGAAGGCCAAATGCCTGCATTCCCCCTCTGACAAAGAGGGACATGGGGCACTCTCCTTTGGTGGGCTATGGTGGGGAGTGAAGTGTGTGGCACGGGATCAAGTTCTAGGTAGGAGAAACTGGCAGCCCCACTGTGACCTTCCTGCCTCCACCCCACCCCACTGACTTGGAGGACTCTTCCTGAAGTTGGGGATGAGGTAGGCAGGGACCAAGTGGCCCACCCTGGAGGGGCCTTTGTCATGGAGACCCAAGAGAGAGGAGCACCATGGAACCTGCTGCCCAGGTGGAAGAGGGCAGGGTGGGAGGGGTAGACCCAGGAAGGACCAAAACATGAGCTGTCTGGGCTGGGCTGTGTAGAAGGGGGAGTGCCGAGCGTAAGGCAGCGCAGGGGGTGGGGGAAGGAAGATGCAGAGCAAGAGGATGAGGAGACCGGCCCCGGGAGCGGACTTGGGCTCTGGGGATCGGGCCGAGAGAAGCTACTGTGGAGTCCCCGGGCTGATAGGGAGTAGCCCTGGGAAGGAATCGTGCTGGGCTGGCAGCATGGTCATCCGCCATTGCCCGCCTTCCAGGGCCAAGGCTTTGAGCTGTAGAACTTGGGTGCTGTTGAGCCCCTGGGCCAGAACTCTGCAGCCATTTGCCCCCAGCT